CGCGGTGCGGCCCGGGGCAGCGGCCCTGCGCGCCCCCGGAGGATGAGTGCGCGCCGCCCTGTGAGTCCGACCCCAGGCAGCCCGAGACCCCGGTACCTCCTCTGGTACCTTCATCTCTCCCAGACCCTTCTCCCAATCTGACCTCGCCAGGATCCTCCCCAGATAGCCCACACACCCTTTTCCCAAGGAAAGGGTGACTCCCTCCAATTCCTGCCCGGGTACCCAGACCCGTCCCAGCCCCCTCCGACCCAGCTTCCCTTTCCTGGAAAGCAGGACCCCAGACTAGCACTGCTGGTTACCTCAGCCTTCTTCCCTTAGCCCAACACTTTGTCAGCCCCAAATGGGAATCCGACCCTCACCCCCATTTCCCATACCACACCCCTTCACCTCACCTAACTCTTGGGCCTCTCTACCCCCAGCTAGGAATTTGGAACTATCCCAGGTTCCCCAGGGCTCAGATCCCCTGGGCCAGGGAACCCCCAACGTACCCTGGATCTTCTCCGATCCTGTCTGGAGCCCCCAGAGGAATTCAGACTCTCCCATTTCCCTGAAAGACCAGGATCCCACTCAGGCTTTAAGTCCCCTCCCTCATTCTCCTACCCAAAGCCCGTTCCCCATCCTCCTTCCAAGAGCTACTACTTCCACGGTAGTCTGGGTTCAAATCCTTGCCCTCCCACTCCCAGCTTGTACCTCAGTTTCCCTGTCTGTACTCTGGGCTGGCAGTACCATCCAGTCCAGAGGGTTGGCACAGGATGAAGCAAGGTGGATGGGGTTCAGAAGCCTCTCTCCCTACCCCCTTCACTGACCCTGCTCCTCTCCTGTCTGCTTCTCTGTCCCCTCTAGTGGCATGTCGAGCAGGCTGCAGCCCAGAGCACGGCTTTTGTGACCGTCCGGATGAGTGTCAGTGCCTGGAGGGATGGTCTGGGCCCCTCTGCACTGTCCCCATTGCCACCAGCAGCTGCCTCAGCCCCAGGGGCCCATCCTCGGCCAGCGCTGGATGCCTCCTGACTGGTCCTGGGAACCCCTGTGACGTGAACCCCTGTGCCAACGGGGGCAGCTGCAGTGTCAGTACCTCCCCCCACACACCTCATCCAGGTTCCTCCTTTACCCTGGTGGTCTCCACTCCCCCCACTCTGGGATCCATGTCAGGGAGTGGAGGTGAAGTGTTCAGCCTGGTGGTGGGGAACATAGTACCTGAAGGTGTGTGTGTGTGGGGGGGGGGGGCGTAATGAGTTGGGAAAACCCTCAGGGCTCACACTAGGGAGTAGTGGGATCAGGCTGGGTGAGGGCCCAGGACATGGGAGGAGGCTTTCTGGACAAGGAAGGGCCCAGAGCTGAAGCCTTTGGTAAAGTGTGAGGGCATTGGGTGAGCACAGGGTAGAGGTGGGAATACACCTAGGATAAAGGAGAGGACAGTGTAGGCCTGGTCATGGCCACCCTGTGACAGTGAGAAAGTCTCAGGGTTCAAGTTGAAAGGGCTGGGGAGGAGAGGTCATGAGAAGGCTGTGAAGACACACAGAATTGGGGAGGCAGACCAGGCAGCCTAGAAGCCCTGCTGGCCTAGTCGTTACCTGTTCAAAACCACCGACCTCCAGTAGGAGAAAGATGAGGCTTTCTACTCCTTAAAGAGTTAAAAGTAAACTCACTGCCATCGAGTCAATTCGGACTCACAGTGACCCTGTAGGACAGGGTAGAACTGCCCCTGTGAGTTTCCAAGACTGATTCTTTACCGGATTAGAAAGTCTCTGTTTTTCTCCCACCGAGCGGCTGGTGGTTTCGAACTTCTAAACTTAAAGATGGAAGCTCGACGCATAAACTCCCGTAAAGAATTACAGTCTCAGAAACCTACAGGGGCAGTTCTATCCTGTCTTGAGAGTCGCTAAGAGACCGAATCGGCCTCAAAGACAGCCAGAGACCAAGCAGGCAGCATGTAATGGTGGGAACTGGATTCCTTGTGGCTTTCAAGGATTGATAGAGAAATACCCAGGGAAGCCAGGAGTTGTCTGGGGAGACGACCCCAGTGGTCGTACGAGGTGGGCTGTAGGATGTTGCCCCATGGAGACCACCCACCCAAATACTTCTTGCCCTGGTCCAGGAAACGCCGGGCTCCTTCGAGTGTGCCTGCCCCCGAGGCTTCTACGGTCTGCGGTGTGAGGTGAGCGGGGTGACATGCGCAGATGGACCCTGCTTCAATGGCGGCTTGTGTGTTGGGGGCGCAGACCCCAATTCTGCCTACGTTTGCCACTGCCCGCCGGGCTTCCAGGGCTCCAACTGTGAGAAGAGGGTGGACCGGTGCAGCTTGCAGCCCTGCCGGAATGGTGAGGGTGGCCGGGTGGGCAAGCGGACCATAAATAGTTCTGGAAGTGTTGGTTAAGGGTGGCGAAAGGAGGTGGGGGAGCCCTGACGGCGTAGTGGTTACACGTTGGGTTGCTTACAGCAAGGTCAGCAGTTCAATACCGCCAGCTGCTTCTCGGGAGAAGGGTGGGGCTCTCCTGTAAGGAGGTCTGTATCGGAAACTCACAAGGGCAGTTTCTATGTCCTATGGCTTTGCTATGAGTCGGCATCGACTCGATGGCAGTGTGCTTTTTTGTTTTTTATTTAATTGGGGGTGGGAGACGTAAGAATGAGGGGACGCCAAAGCGACACCCAGCACAAAAGGAAGTGGCTGGCAGTGCAAAGACACAACAAACCCAACCCACTGTCTTGGAAAGACTTCCAATTCACAAGGACCCTATGGGATGGGGCAGAACGGCCCCTGTGGGTCTTCAAAACTTTAAACCTTAACAGGGGCGGGAAGCTTCATAGAGGGAGCAGCTGGTGGGTTCGACCTGCTGACCTTGTGGTTATCTTCCCGATGAGTAGCCCACTAGAGCCAGGAGGCTGAGGGTGGGGGTTACAGACCTGGGACAAAGGGGGAGGAGCTCGGCAGGCTTGGGAGGACACTGAGCCCCCCTGTACCCCCTTCTTTCCCAGGCGGGCTCTGCTTGGACCTGGGCTATGCCCTGCGCTGCCGCTGCCGCGCGGGCTTCGCGGGCCCGCGC